GAGTGGGCGCTGGGCGGGCTCCCGCCGAGCAAACCGCCCCCCTGCTCTGTCGGGTGCGGGGGGTAAGGGCGGTTTGGGCACGGAAGGTCTCCGGCTAAGTACCGGTCAGAGTGCCCCCTGCCTTGGGGCCGTGTGACGGTTCCTCGCCTCCGTGCAGGCGCGCTGCTGCGCAGGTGGGTGACGGTGTCGCGATAGGTGCTGACATGACAACATGACAGACAGGTCACCTGCTCGGTCAGGAAGACTTGGGCGGTGGCAGGGCGTCGCTGCTTGGCAGATCTGCTTTTTTTTTCTTCCCCCCCCCAGCAAAGCTGCGAAGTGTTTTATAACGATGAGAGTCAGAAGGGCCGGTGAGGTGACGGAGGTCTGGGAGGGTCCCCAGCCCCAGGTCCCACTCCGAGCGGGGCCAGCTCTGAGGCCAGGCCCGGTGGCTCAGGGCTTTACCCGGTGACCTCTTGAAAGCCTTCGAGGAAGGAGACCCCGAGGAGCTCGTCAGGCAGCTTGTTCCTCAGTTTGACTGTCCTCAGGGTGAAGAAGTTTCTCCTGGTATCCTGTACAGACCTCCCTTGTTTCATCCTCCCACCATGCACTGCTGTTGAAAGCTTGTCAAAACATCTCCTCGGAATGCTTATGCTATGTATGCTCTCTGAAATGGAGGTAGAAGAGGAAAGGTGGTCTGGTTTAGCTGTGCTCTGCCCAGTTTCCGGGTCTGTTGTTTGTATGTAAATATATCCATGGTTTCAGCAAGGGTTACTGTGTAGTCACAGTTTCATCTGTGGCAGTGATGCCACCAGAAAAGCTACTGATAGGTCAACTAGACACAGCATAATGACCTCAACAAAATGAGATATACCTGTAAATGGCATGGGAAATATTCAGCCTCGCGCAGGAGGTAACAATTGTGGTTTTTTGAATAAGAAAGTATACAGTAATACAAAGATGATTACAGTTTTTTGCCCTGCTTAAAACAGTTGCCTTGGGAAAAAAATGTATTTCAACAGAGCGAAATTCTCAAACCAAGCAGGTGGATGATGAAGACAAGGCCTATGAAAACTTAGTGTTTCAGATGGGAAAAAAAATAATTTTTTTCCTGTGTGGTTATATACAGCTTTGCAAATTAGTTTCTTTCCTAATTGTTTACATTTAGAATATATTTTTCTGAGCTGAGGAGCATGACATGTCTAACACCTCAGTTGTACTTGTTCCTACAGCTGTGCATTTCCTTCCACACCTTAGATTTGGCACAAACAACACTACAGGAAGAAAATGACGCACTGGTTTCATCGCAACCCTTTGAAGGCTACAGCTCCCGTTTCATTCAATTTTTACGGCGTAGCTACCACTCCAGCTGCAACAAAGGTTTGCAAGTAAGTGTACTTACGATTAAATTCACTCTGTCTCTCACAGTTTGGAGGACGTCCTTAAAAGTAATGATTACTCTTCAGTTTTTCTTCTGAAAATGACTAGAAACGTGTAGGCTGGGAGACAGTAAGACACTGATAACACTGAACATTTAGTTACAAAGAATGAATTATCTGGTTTTCAAGTCTCTGAGTGTATAGCAAGGCCTATTATAATAATGCAGAGGCAAAAGACTAAACATTTCATTGTCTTTCTGGTGACTGTGCGTTCTTCTGCAAGAGATTACTTAAAGTAATTTCCATAAGTGAATAAGGCATGAATGTTCTGTTGTAGATAGGAATATAATGAGAAGAGATCTCAGCTTATTTTGCAGATCTATTCTTATCTCTTCATATGCTTATCCTGTTCTAATGCTGAAGAATGTGCCTGCTTGTTGCTTCTCTTCCCTCCCCCTGTACCCAACCTCTTGGTAGATAAAGGCATAGTTATTTTAGTGTGTGTTAGAACAATAGATTGATAATGAGTACTGATTATCCATTGTGGTCTGTCCAAAATGGATTGTACTTTAAAGTAGAGTCAATCGTGTGTATCCAGAGGAGAAAAAAAGATTTTTTTTCTGTATTTATTGGCATCTTCCTCATAAAGTACTTTGCCTTGCCTTTAGATAGCTAAATCAAATGCTTAGCTTCGCTTTCTTAAGCCAAAAGGGTGGTGGTGTACATGAGTGGGTACTTTCTTAATGGTACATTTTGGGGTAGAATTTCTTAGGTTTATTTTTTCTTTTTTTTCCCCCCTTCATAGTGATTTGAGGTTATCTCGAACGCGACTATTGGAGCTGTTCACAGACTTGAGTTGTAATCCAGAAATGATGAAGAATGCAACTGACTTGTATTTCTCACTCTTGCAAGGTAGGAACATATATTAGCGATACTGCTAATACATCAAGAGGTATATAATTTGAGTTTTATGACACTTCTCAGAATGCATGTTGTCCTGATCTTTTGTAAAGAAGCTTTGTGTTTCCCAGGAAGGAGATTATCTGCCTGGGTTCTACGCTTGATACTAGTCATGGGTACTCGCCAGACTTTCTACAAGTTTCAGTGTCCTTTGTGACCCTGCCAGTACTGAGTGTTGGCAGTCCTGTCCTCTTGCTTTCAACCTCATTCTGCTTCTTGCTGGAGAAGAAAATGTTTATTTGTCTCTTAGATTTTGGTGAATTGCTCTTAAGTATAAACTGAGTCTATTTTTTTTTTGTTGATAGGAGTTGCTCTTTGGTGTGAACTTCTGGTTTGTCTAATGCTAGATAATAGAATTCTTGCAAGTGTACGCTTCTGCTGCTGCTTGTCTTAGGTGTATATATAGGTTCTCATTAGCAAAGTATCTACATTTTCAGTAGGTGGTCACCTATGATGACACATTCCCTTGAAACCTTCCTCCTGCCAATATTTTGACAGCGCTCTCTTAGCGGTCAGGTGCTCAGACAAGTTTGTTAGGACTGAGTTTTCAGGAGTCAAATGATTCATGGAAACTTTGATCTTTTAGTCTGTGGGAAGTGAAGCAGCTCAAGTTGGTGTAGTTCCCTCAGTCCCTGGGAGGGTGTAAGCTAATGCAACATTCTAGATAAAGGTAAGATAACAGTCCATGTTGCTGCAGACAAGATTGGGTGAGTTTTTTCAGAAAAGC